AATAAACATGACATATTATTCACCAAGTCACAAATCAATGATGACGCCAATGATACCATCATCTTGAAGAGAATCTCACAGCACTAAAAGCAGGATTTACTAAAATTGCAATTATATTATTGCATGACTCAGATAATCTACACATGCATAAGATTCCTGAGCTCAGCTGCACATGTGGGAACAGCTTTATGTACAAACTTATGTCTAGCACTGCTCCATCGAGGCTCTTTGAGCCTCATGCCATCATTGTAGGACACATAAAGTTTCTGCAGGCTACTTTTTTTGTATCGTTGCCACAGATGGGCCGTGTAATAATGTGATTCATGAATATGATTTATCGTTTTAGAGTCAAAGGAAAATTTCCTCGTTGATAGATTAAATAGTTTCATCTTATTTTTTTTTCTATATATAAGACTCTACCAACAAAAAGTCTCTCAATAATATACATGGCACTGTAAAAACAAAAAATTTTTTTTTTTGCTTATATCTGTTTAAAACCCTGGTTGTAACAACCTGGGTTGTTATTCTTCTGTACCTAAATCATTTGTTTGTTATTGACTTTTGCTCAATTAAATTTCTTACGTATTCACTGCGAATGGTATTTTTATTATAGCTGATCATGTTGTTTTTCATGTCTCCTTATGTCTTTTGTTCCTCCCATAATTGATGGAGCTATACAGATATTATTTGTAATGTATAAAAGTATTGTCATTTAATTAGCTCTACATCCATAAGAAAATGAAAAAAATATGTTGTTTTATAAGATAATTTATCTTTTACGGTGCCAGTAATGCCAGAATTAATAGAAAATAATAAATACGTTGCGGTATTCTGGTTTAGTAATGCAAGTATATAAGTTGTGTTACCACCCTCACGCCACTAGAGGCAGTAGCAAGCCCGAAAAGATGCGACTAAGGAGCAGATTTAGAAGTAAACCGAAAGCTACAGAATTTGCTAAAAACTGTGAGCTGCGCTAAAGTAAATAAAAGGATAAAAGAAAGAAGTTCAAATACACTCTGAGATTGAAACTCCTTCCTAAAGGTGAAAATATATCCCAGATTTCAAAAGAAAATAAAAACGAAAGTATAGGAAATAGCGCCCCCTTCACTTCCGGATTGCAATGGTCCCGTTTCCAAATAAGGTATGAGACTGTCAGTGGTCCGTACTA